TTCTTGGGTTTTCTAACATTTTTATTAATATGGGACTTCATCCATAAGCGAAGAAAAAATAAAATTTTCAAAAATGCTGGCATAAATGGCCCAAAAGGTCTACCACTATTTGGTAATGTTCTAAGTACAATTAATGAGAATACCGAGAGTAAGTAAAACAATTGAATGTCACACAAATCTTAAAGTAATAAAATTTTTTTTTAGCCATATATAACTTTAATAAATTAATGCGAAGCGAGTATGGAAAAATATGGAGATTATGGTTCTTTCATCATGATGGTATATTCGTGCAGGATCCTAAATTCTTTGAAAGCATACTCAGCAGTCAACAAGTTATATCAAAAAACAACTTATACAATCTGCTAATCCCCTGGCTTGGGGATGGTTTACTACTAAGTACAGGATCTAAGTGGCATGCGAGAAGAAAGATTTTTACGCCGACTTTTCATTTTAAGATATTAGAGCAATTCGTTGAGATCTTCGATCAACAAAGTGCAGTTATGGCAAAAACTTTATATAAAAAAGCAGATGGTAAAACTGTGATAGATATGTTTCCAGTAGTATGTCTCACAGCACTAGATATAATAGCTGAAACTGCGATGGGTGTAAAAATCAACGCGCAAATGAATCCAGATTTCCCTTATGCCAAAGCGGTCACAGAGTAAGTAATTATAGTATATACTCAACTTTACTTGCTATATTTACCAATTAATTTTTCTAGTGTTGCCCAAATTGTTGCTACACGTGTTATTAAAGGTAACCAACGTTTCGATATACCTTTCATGATTACTGCACCACATATAGCATACAGATTAAAGAAGCAGATAGCACTCATGCATGACTTTACGGATACGGTAATCAAGGATCGCAGAGTTGCATTGGAAAAATCAATTGCAGAAGGAAGCAATACACCATTAGGTAAGTTACAATATTTTAGCAATAAATACTTCGAATGCGTTGGATTATTTGCTTTTCAAAAATTGTTTAATATTTATTTAATATTTATATAAACGTTTAGATGTAATAGACGACGTCGGAGTTAAAAAGCGAATGGCTTTTCTGGACGTTTTACTACAATCAACAGTGGATGGCAAACCTCTATCAAATGCAGATATACGTGAGGAAGTAGATACATTTATGTTTGAAGGACATGATACTACTACAAGTGGCATATCACATACATGTTACCTTATAGCTAGACATCCAGAAATTCAACAGAAACTTTTTGATGAAATACGACAAGTTATTGGTGATGATAAGAACAAAGCGATCACGATGAAAGATTTACAAGAACTCAAGTATTTAGACATTGTTATCAAAGAGAGTCTACGTTTATATCCACCAGTACCAATAATTGGGCGCATTACTGATAACGATGTTGTATTAGGTAAAATCATCATATTTAATTATTTTGGTCTTTTAATAATTGTAATTTCTACAATTTATTTTAGAGGGTAAATCTATTCCTGCAAACACAAATATAATTTTGTTACTTTATGCAGCTTTGAGAGATCCCGATTATTTCCCAAATCCGGATGAATTTATACCAGAACGTTTCCTTAATGAAAAAATTGATCCATTTGCAAATGTTCCTTTCAGTGCTGGTCCACGTAATTGCATTGGTCAAAAGTTCGCTTTATTGGAAATGAAGAGCACTATTAGTAAACTATTGCGCCATTTTGAACTTTTACCATTGGGTGCAGAAGTAAGACCAATGCAAAATCTGATTCTTCGTTCTGCAAGTGGTATTAATGTTGGACTTCGACCTCGGGTATACTCATAGGCTTAGAATCTATGTTTGTGAAAATAACTATATTTCAGGTTTTAAACCTGAAATCAATCTAATCAATAGCGTATTATCAATTGTGTTATATACTGTTTTTAAATTGTAAGAACACTCATAAATTAAAGCAATTTATTATGTTTGATATACTTTTTGTTTAAATGGCTTGTAATAAAAGAACCACTTAAATAAGCATTATCATTAGGTTTTGTATTTTTTAGCAAATATAATTTGTACTATAATTAAATAAAAATTTAATGTGTATTTGATAAATTTATTGTATAAATAAAGTGTTTTAAAACATTTCTTTACTTTAAATGTTTTCCTATGTACGAAATGTAACTAATTTCATCAGGCAATTGTTGTTGTAAACAATAATGTTCCCCGCAAAATAAAAATCACAAAACGCTGCTGTTTATACTTCTCACATAGTTTGCTTGAGATTTCCCATTAGATCAACTCGACTTTTGCGGATACCACTGAGGCAGCTTTGATGTGTTGTACGGTTTGACAAGCAGGCGTCACATACGTGCTCCTTATAGTTGTAATTCAGTGTAGAGCGTAACTTTTTTACTTTAACGAAACCGACTTTTTTCATCGTACATAGAATATTACAATAGTTCTAAGAAGAAAAGCATTGTACAATTTACTTTGGGTTATCATGACGAGAGAATGGGTGTAAATAACAATAGAATATGTGGTAGCGAAAAGCTTAATCACCAACGCAAAGTGCAGTGCCTTATCAAAATTACGCGAATTCTTGCCTCTAAAAAAAATGAGGCAAACACGGGAAGATAAACAATGATTCAGCATTTATTTTAACAGAGCAAAAGACAACTGATAGCGCGAATCATTAGAAATAAACAAATTCAATAATTGTAATGTAAACAATGACTCGGCATTTATAAACATTTAATCTAGATGAGTTAAAATAATGTTTGAAAATAATTTTAGTTTTGAGATTACCTACATTTTTTATTTAAAAATAGATCAGTGTAGTAATTTTTTGCAAAAAAAATTATTAATAAATTTATATGTATATTTAAATAACAAATAAAGTAACTTGACTTAAGAATTATTAATAGTTTATTCATTATAATCTATAATGAAAGAGAATGATATGTACATAACTTGCGCAGCAGAAACTTATAAAAAGTCTGACCACACAACAGCTGGGGTCCGGGTTGTTTAGTACACTTTATATAATATATATACGCATTTCAAAAATTATTACATTGAATTTATGCGAGTTCATTGAATTTATGCGAGTTCAAAGAATAATATACACGACCTTAGGATGTCATAAATACACACATGTAAGTTCAAATATTAGCACCGTTTATCATTACTAAAATATGGACAAGCTCAAAGAATAGCATATTTTTTAATAACTAATGTGCGGTACAAGGAACTATGATAATGAACAAATCTCTCAAGCACAAAACCTGAAGAGCCAAATAAATAGCTGCAAAGTAATAAATTTCCTAGAGCGAAACAAAGAATGTCATTATATGAAATAATCTAAAATGTACTGATTTGAACAGTATTTTTTTATTTCATTGTCCTATGGAACCTCTTTTGATTATAACATATTTCTTTGGGCACACTACAGCAGCGCCATATACGTTTCGTTCCGTTCCGTTCCATTTATCCTTGGCTATCCACATATTACAAGTTTCAAAAATAATGGCTAATTGATAGAATTCATATAAAGTTTATATAAAGTTTTAAATATAAAAGTGTACGTATAAATGTAATATAGGTTGTAGTAGGCAAAGTTCCCTAGTATATATATATAAAATTTAAAATATAAACCTCATGTAACATATAACATATAATTACTAGGGTTATCTAAGAGCTTATATCCTCTCATATTCCTATTCAAACAATGAGAACCATTCTAATGAAAATTAGAGATAACATTGGCGAAGGTGGTTGTTTAAAACGTAAGAAGATTCTTTCAAAGCAACTTTTTGATATTATAATATGGTGAGATACGATGCATATAAACTTTAGTTTTGTAATAGTTGATTGGAAAAAATAATTTGAACGATATATTTAGAACAAATAAGATAAACTAAAATATCGTAATTTATTACACGGCTAGGTCTCTCACTAAAAGGAGTCGGGGCAGAGTATTAAGTTCGGATTTAAATTATTCACATACTTGACTATAAATATAAATATCAGAACCAGAAAATAGTCTTGGTAGCAGAAAGACAAGCAGCGATCAAGGTATTTTTCTGCAAATATGATATTTATGTCTTGATAAGCTGAATACCACGCATTAAGCTAACACATATTGATTTTAAAAGACGAGTTGTTTTGATGCTTGTAGACAAGGAATCATTTATGGAGTTTCTTCTCATTCATTTTCGAAAAATATAGAAAATAATATTAAAGTGATACAATGAATTTGAACTCTTACTATCAATGTTGCTTATATGCACCTTTAACCTAACTCGTTACAGGATTGGAAGAAATTAAATATACGTAGAAACTAATCAATTATAACAGAATATTTTAGAAGGAACTTTATGTACGAAGCTGTAAATTTATTTTAATAGAGTTTGACGATTTTGCAGAGGATAGGAAGAGATTGTGAAGACATACTGGGAGTATGCTCACATACTGTAGTGATATACAAACAAAATAATCATTTGTGTGATCATTTAATATCGGGTGACGAATAAGATTTGCAAAATATAGCTGATTCAGTAATTGATTGGTAAAATAGGAAATAGAGAAACATTTTGAACTCAAGGAAAGGTATAATAAGGTTTTAAGGTCGTAATACAAGTTCTCTGAAAAAAATAATAATAACATGATAGCAAGATTAGAGAATTGTACTAAAAACCACGCAACAGTAATTAATATATTGCTCATATTTATCTATTAAATTTTTAAAATCATAATGAGTTGTGAAAAAATTTCCTGGATTATATGTTTTCTTTATGAAGAAAGGTAAATTTTTTAAACGATCAAAGTTTAAAAACAGTACATAGGTACGCTAAACATCCATTGTTGATATAGTTGCAAATATAAGAGCAACTGATATAAAAAATTTCATTTTTATCAGTTTGCACGCTACTACAAGCTTAACATCAGACCATTAAGATAAGCACATTTTATCGCGAAACAAACTAAAAGATTAACAGCATAAATACAAATAATTTGTTTTATTATTTCAACAAATATTATTTAACAGGTCTTTAAACTAAAAACATGTTTTTGGAATTATTTTTAGGTTTTCTAACATTTTTATTAATATGGGACTTCATCCATAAACGAAGAAAAAATAAGTTTTTTGAAAATGCGGGAATAACAGGGCCAAAAGGCCTACCGCTTTTTGGCAATGTTTTAAGCACAATTAATGAGAATACTGAGAGTAAGCAAAACAATTATATTTTACTCATAACAGAAACTTAAAAATTTTTTTCGTTTTAGCAATATTTGAATTCATTAAAGGAATGCGAAATGAATATGGCAAGATATGGAGAATGTGGTTCTTTCATCAGGAGGGTCTCTTTGTGCAAGATCCTAGATTTTTTGAAAGCATATTGAGCAGTCAACAAGTTATTTCCAAAAATAAATTATATAATCTAGTAGCTCCGTGGCTTGGTAATGGTTTACTATTGAGCACAGGAGCTAAATGGCATGCGAGAAGAAAGATTTTTACGCCGACTTTTCATTTTAAGATATTGGAACAATTCGTTGAAATTTTCGATCAACAAAGTGCAGTTATGGTAAAAACTTTATACGAAAAGGCTGATGGTAAAACTGTAATAAACATGTTTCCAGTAGCATGCCTCACTGCTCTAGATATAATAGCCGAAACCGCGATGGGTGTAAGGATCAATGCACAGATGAACCCAGATTTCCCTTATGCCAAGGCTGTCACAGAGTAAGGAAATATATTGCACATGCATTTTAACTTACTATACTTAGTTACCACAATTTTTTTAGAGTTGCTAATATTGTTGCTACACGCTTCATAAAAGGCAATCAACGCTTTGATATACCTTTCATGATTACTGCACCACATATAGCATACAGATTAAATAAGCATATAGCACTCATGCATAACTTTACGGATACGGTAATCAAGGATCGCAGAGTTGCATTGGAAAAATCAATTGCAGAAGGAAGCAATACACCATTAGGTAAGTTTGGAAGTTCTATCAATGTAATATAAGTGATGCATCAGGTGCATTGAATTACTTCAATCTTAAGAAGTTAATTAATATATATCTTTGTTTATATCAACGTTTAGATGTATCAGACGACATGGGAGTTAAAAAGCGAATGGCTTTTCTAGACGTTCTACTACAATCAACAGTGGATGGCAAACCTCTAACAAATGCTGATATACGTGAGGAAGTAGATACATTTATGTTCGAGGGACATGATACTACTACAAGTGGCATATCTTATACATGTTACCTTATAGCCAGACATCCAGAAATTCAACAGAAACTTTTTGATGAAATACGAGAAGTTATTGGTGATGATAAGAACAAACCTATCACAATGAAAGATCTACAGGAACTTAAGTATTTAGACATCGTCATCAAAGAAAGCCTACGTTTTTATCCACCAGTACCAATAATTGGGCGCATTACTGATAGTGACGTAGTAATAGGTAAGTTCAAATTAAATTATTTTATAAATTGTAAATAATTTTTAAAAAACAAATAAAAAATTTTAATAACTTATTTTAGATGGCAAATTGATACCTGCAAACACAAATATAATTTTGTTACTTTATGCAGCTTTGAGAGATCCGGATTATTTCTCAAATCCAGATAAATTTATACCAGAACGTTTTCTGAATGAAAAAATTGATCCGTTTGCAAATGTTCCTTTCAGCGCTGGTCCACGTAATTGTATTGGTCAGAAGTTCGCTTTATTGGAAATGAAGAGCACTATTAGTAAATTATTGCGCCATTTTGAACTTTTACCATTGGGTGCAGAAGTAAGACCAATGCAAAATTTGATTCTTCGTTCTGCGAGTGGTATTAATGTGGGACTTCGACCTAGGGTATATTCATAGTTTAAGAATGTATTGGGATTTATAATTGTGTGTAAATAGTTATATTTAATTTTTTAAATGTTATTCACAAGTCTATAGGAATTGGACTTTAGTTTTATGTAATCTATAAATTTATTATGATTGAGAATGTTTAAAGGCCACCTAAATATTATTTACCTGCAAACCAAAAAGTTTAAAGTTCAATGTTTCAAGTAATTTAAAGTTCAAAATATTTTTGTGTATATATTTTAATAAAAGCATTTTAATGTCAACTGTTGTATTATTAACTACTATTTAGAAAATAATTTTAGTTCATTATATAAGTTTGTTTGTTGTATGTCTTTTGATTTAAGGTTGCGATTCTTTATATCGCATTTTAGTGGCGTAATTAGGGCACATTTATTTAAGTAGAAGTAAATTTATGCAAAACCGACAGTGGAAAGGTGTAGATTTTTCAAAAGATGAGTTAAAGCATATGTAACCTCTAAGAAATTTTAACATCGATATATAAACTACGCGCTTCTTAAGAATCAATTATTATAATTAGGAAATGAACTCAATAATCGTGAAAGTTTTAAAAAAATTAGATGAATTTCGTTGTTTCATAATGAAGAAGTGTATTTTTTCATGTGGTCAAAGTTTGGAAACCGAAAATGGTTACCCTTAATATCTTCTGACGTTATATATATTATAACAGCTACTACTTACCAAAATCTCAGATAAGCAAAAATTATCGCAAAGCAAACTAGAAGACCAACAACATTAATACAAATATTTTCTTTCGTAGTTTTAACGAATATTATTAAATAAACCTTACAACCAAAAAGATGTTTTTGGAGTTATTCTTAGGCTTTCTAACGTTTTTGTCAATATGGGATTTTCTATATAAACGACACAGAAATAAACTTTTCAAAAATGCTGGAATAACAGGGCCAAATGGACTACCGCTTTTTGGCAATGTTCTAAAATTAATTAACTTGAATACTGAAAGTAAGAAGAAATAGTTAATTTTACACAAAACCACAATAAACATTTTTTTAGCTTTATTTGAATTTAATAAATTGATGCGAAGAAAATATGGTAAAATGTGGAGATTATGGTTCTTTAATCAGGAACGTGTCTTTGTGCAAGATCCTAAATTCTTCGAAAGCATATTTAGCAGTCAACATGTTATATCAAAAAACAATTCATACAGCTTATTACTGCCTTGGCTTGGGGATGGTTTACTTCTAAGTACAGGATCTAAGTGGCATGCGAGAAGAAAGATTTTTACGCCGACTTTTCATTTTAAGATATTAGAACAATTCGTTGAGATTTTCGATCAAAACAGTGCAATTTTGGTAAAAACTTTATACGAAAAGGCTGACGGTAAAACAGTCATAGATATATTTCCAGTAGTATGTCTCACTGCTCTAGATATAATTGCCGAAACTGCAATGGGCGTAAAGATCAATGCGCAGATAAACCCAGATTTTCCTTATGCCAAAGCGGTCACAGAGTAAAGAATTATATTGTATATTCACTTTTACTAACTATATTCAGCAAATAATTTTTATAGAGTGTCCCAAATTGTTGCTACACGTGTTATTAAAGGCAATCAACGCTATGATATATCTTTCATGATTACTGCACCACATATAGCATACAGATTAAAAAAACAGATAGCACTCATGCATGATTTTACGGATACGGTTATCAAGGATCGCAGAGTTGCATTGGAAAAATCAATTACAGATGGAAGTAATATACCAATAAGTAAGTTTTAATATATTAATAGTAGGTATATATTTTAAATATTTTTTGAATACTAGTTTCTTTAGAAATCATTAAATATTTATTTATAAAAATCAAAAATGCTTAGAAATGTCAGATGATGTGGGAGTTAAAAAGCGAATGGCTTTTCTGGACGTTCTACTACAATCAACAGTGGATGGCAAACCTCTATCAAATTCAGATATACGTGAGGAAGTAGATACATTTATGTTTGAAGGACATGATACCACCACAAGTGGCATATCACATACATGTTACCTTATAGCTAGACATCAAGAAATTCAACAGAAACTTTTTGATGAAATACGAGAAGTTATTGGTGATGATAAGAACAAAGCGATCACAATGAAAGATCTACAAGAACTTAAGTATTTAGACATTGTTATTAAAGAGGGTTTACGTTTATATCCACCAGTACCAGTTATAGGACGCATGACTGATAGTGATGTTGTAATAAGTAAGTATAAACTAAAATTTTTTACGAAGTGAAAATGTATGATTCAATTACATTTTTTAGATGGTAAATGGATTCCTAAAAACACAAATATAACTATGTTACTTTATGCAGCTTTGAGAGATCCCGATTGTTTCTCAAATCCAGATCAATTTATACCAGAACGTTTTCTGAATGAAAAAATTGATCCGTTTGCAAATGTTCCTTTCAGTG